CCATGTCTCTGTTACCTAGAATTGCTTTTGCTATTCTGGGTCTCTTCTTGTTCCAAATGAAGTTTTTTTTTTTTTTAGTTTTGTTTAAAAACTTTCTTATTCAAGCCAACAGTCACAAATACAACAAAATAAATTATCTTAATCTTTTTCATAAAAGTCCTTCAAATATTAAATTACAGTCTTCTTTACCCAAGGAAGGTCTTCTCTGTTCCACACTAAACATCTTCAGTTCCTGCAACTATTTCTTCTATAATGCTGGTCAATAGAACTTTCTGTGATGACAGAAATTTTCTGTATCTGTACTCTTCAATATCGTAGCCAAGAATATAAACTAGAAATGTTGCTAGTGTGACTAAGGAATTGAATTTTTACTCAGTGTCCACATGTAGCTAGTGGCCTCCACATGGGACAATACAGACTTATTATTTGCAAATCCCCTTCCATTAACTGCATTCAAACTTGTCAACATCTTTCAAATGTTTGGCACCCACAGAGCAATACTAACCAATACAGCCTTCCAGATAACTATTTAGAACCTAGACAATATTTCTTCCAATGCTCTAATGGAATGTTTTTAAAGTATCTTGGAGTACAAATGGTTCACACTGATAATCACTGGAACTAGTACTCTTGTCAGCAGTCCTACTGCCTAACCTTTTAGTAAACTGCATTTTTAACATAAATATAAATCTTGATATTGCAACTAGTTAGGCCCAGCAGTTTGTGTATTCCAAGTTGATAAATCATTTTAAAACTTGTTCCAAAATAGACTACCTACCAGCCCTGATTTTGCGGCACTTAAGAGATTTGGCATTACTATCATCTGCCCTATCTGGAGTCCTTTAGATTTTGCAAGGCATTTTTACATCAATTATATTTCATTTGATCCTTAAAATAATCTTGTGAGGTAGGCAAGATGTGAAATCTATATTTTATAGGGAAGGCAGCTGAAGTGCAGCAGAAACTTAACTGATGAGATCCATTTTCTAATCCATCGAACATCTTGTTATATATAGTTTTCACTCAAAAGCTTGATAAGAAATGTTGAAGGGCCCCTCCAGAAGCCAGGTTGACCGTGAATATCACTAGCTGGTACAGCTGTTAATGCAGGTCAGTTCCACCTAAAGCGTGACTAGCTAACCTATATGTTGCCTTTCTGCCTAAAAGGATGGTTCAAGAGAGAGTTACTGACTTACTGACATAAATATTAACACTAGTCTAATGAGAAAAAAGCAAATGAGGGTTGGCTTCCAGGAAAAAAAAATTTTTTTCTCTTGTCTGTAGCCAGAAAGGAACTGCCATATCAACTGCTTAAAGAAGCCAGGTCCTTCCTCCCTTCCAAAACCTTCATGGGTTCGTGTTTTATTATTCTTATGGTTCTTAGCATATTGTAACCCACCCTGTAATTGTTTATATATTGTCCATGTAGGAAGCACTCAAATTGGTAAAAGAGAAACAAAATCTATCCAAATGAATGTTCCAGTACTACCTGACATGCCTCCAAAAACAAACTGGTGACTAGAAGAGACAGACAATTGCCACATTCCTGTAATCATGACTGATTACAATGCCTTTATAATTGGCTTAGTCACAGTTTTCAGGAAGTGTCAGTGCCTTTGCTGGTTACACCAGCTTTCACTGGATATGGTTAGTTGGTTACATTTGCAGTGCTGGAGATTGAACCCAGGGTCTTGTGTATGCTCAGCCCTTTATCCTCAGAATAAAGACAAGTCCTCTAATGCTAGAGACAGAATATGTGAAATAGGAACACTTCTTTAGAATGGCAATCTACCAATAAGGAAAGTAAATGATCAATTGAGTATCTGTCAGCAAGTCTTCCAAAAGAAAGGAAAAAGGACTAAAAAACAAGAATATAGTGCTTTACCATTTACAAATCTTTCATGTACATTCTCATTTGACCCTCACAACAACCATGTGAGGTAGATGTTCTTCCCATTTAACAGATGAGGAAAGTAAATCTCAGAGTGGTTAACTGATGTGTCCAAAGTTTTACAGTTAGTAAATAATTTATGTTAGTATCAGTCTTTGACCTAAAAATTCAGCACCCAGCCTCCCCTCATATATGCCCCACCTACTTCACAGGGATAATGAAGATAAAATGAATTCAAGGCTAGACAAATACTTTGAGGGGGAAAAAAGCACTATATGATTATACCCATAAACTATAATTGTCCATGATAAATGCTCATTCCCCTTCTCATCCCAGCTTGTGCATGAACCCAGAACAGTATATTACCTCTGTCTGTACTAAGTAACTAGGTAAGGCAGGGTAACAGTGTGATCCTGTTTAAAGTTATATAAATTACAATCAGGGTATCTGCATTATTATGCAAAATGAACAACACACAAAGGCTAATGAGCAATTAGGACCCACTAAAGTACATAGAAAAGCAAGGCAACATTATCAGGGCATGATTGCATAGAAGAAAAACGTGGTGTCAGAGTTCAAATTGACACACAAATAGTTATCTAAGGCAAAGTGGTGGCAAAGAAGAGTTACTTGTTCTGCATTATATAAACAAGAGCAGAAAATTCATGGGAACCCATGAAAAAGCATCGTATGTCACACAGATTTCTCCGGTTGCCTACAGGGACTATAAACACTCATCTTCATTGTAAAGCATGATTGTTCCTGTGCTCATATCCTGAACTAAACCAAGGAACAGCTCCATGCTAAACCTCCTTGAGTAAAATACATCCAGTACTATTACTCCTAATCAGACTAATAAATAGAACATCTTTTAATGAATTAGATAGCTGCTTAGGTTTCCTTCAGGATTTACTTTTTTTGGATTCTCCTGCTTTAAGACCCAAAGAAAGTTATATTGAGTTTTTATTGGTGATTCTAAGTATATGTGTTTATAACATGTAAAGTGTGATAGGTGAATTTAACATATTAAAAGTTTTATAGCATCTGTTCAGAAAGGATTATATACTATACAAACTATTCCAGTCATACAAAACCATTTTTCAGTGTCTTTTCAACTGAGAAGAGTCCTATTCAGCACGCTTCTCCTCCTGAGGTGGTTCATACTGAGCAAGCTTTGCTTTCAGTTTTTTATTTTCTTCTATAGTAGCTTCATATTTCTCTTTCATTTCTGCCAATTCTAGGCGAAGCAGCTCAATTTCTGGATTTTCTGGGGTAGCAGCTCCTAAGTGATGCTTTAAAAAATCCAAAGCACTATTAGGTTTCTCTGGTTCTTCATATAAGGCTACCAACACCTTGGTCAGCGTGTCCAGCACCCCCGACTTCTCCAAGTACCTCCGGAACTGCTCGCGCTTCGAGTCGGCGGCTTTGTAATGGGCCATAGTGACAGGGGCAAGGGCGTAGCTGGCGCCGGGGACCATGGCTGGCGGGCTCGGAGCACCACTGCTCATGCCCAAATGAATTTTTGAGATTAATTTTTTCTTTAACTTTTTAGTTCTGGTTCTTGGCACATATTAAATGCTTAATAAGTGTTTGTTAGTGAAAGAATAAACTCACAAACATAGGTTTCATATCCCCAGATGCTAGGGTTATTTAAGGGATATCTGTAATGCTTTAGTAGAAGGGAAATGCTTTTCTCCTTTTCTCCATGCTTTTTACAATCAATTGTCCCAGTGTCAATACTGCCCACACCAGAGACAGAAGGATTATAGTGAGGGAACAAACAAAAATCCTGCTTTAAAATTAAGTCTTGATTTATACTTTAGATTCCTCAAGAAATTAAACACAAAATGGTTTCCATACCATGCCTTATGTAACTTAATGTTTTTTAGCAACACAGGTTGGGCCATTTAGCCCATTATTGAGATGTTGAACTAAACCCTCCGAAATTAAATTATTTGTTTCAATTTCCATTTTTTTGTGATTGCTAGAGTAGAAAATTAGGGTATACCACTGAACTTATATAGCTGAGTAGATAGTTTAACTCAGACTAGAAAAACTTAAATAGAGCCATTATTTATCATCACATGCCTTTTGAACTTTAGTGACACAGAGAGAGAATGACCATTGTTGATCTATTTACATCTCTCTTTATAAGTAGATTTATCTCAATGACTGCCAGTTATTCATATTGATTAAATGCTTCTCTTACTGGTTAAGATAGCTACTTTCTGTGAGGAACATCCAAAGAATTACCTGAAAGATACAGTATTCTCAGTTCAAGACTTTCATATTAATTTACAAGTTTGGGATTTGAGTTTTCCAAAATGATTTTACGGTCAGTAAATGAGAGCTAATCTAGCTCTCTACTCTCTGAATCAGTATCTATACCAGAGTCATTATTATTTAGGACATGCATGGAATGAATTGTACCTCTTTTATTTAGTTCATGTATTCATGATATAATATGAAAGAAGAATCAACATTTACTCCATTTTTTTACATTTATACATGTCTAAAATATTTACTGAAAAGATGGGAATGGAAGTAGTTTTGTTCTAACAATGCTACTGACTTTAAAATCTTGAGACATGACAAAAATGCATAATGATTAATCATCAAAAATGTTTTTTATAAACTGCTAGCAACTGGTAGGATCTTTGATCAATCTCATTGAAAGCAAAGAATTAGAAACCTCTTGATTTATAAAAGTATTGTTTAAAACATCTAGACATTAGACTAACTCATTTTCTCAATGTTTAAATCATTTGTTTGACCTTCTGGAGATGATTACCATGGGGACAAGGAGACAGTAAACTGGAAGTGGACAGGAGATGAGGTTACCAACATTTGTGAACTTCAGTTTCTTATTTTTGTAAAATTGGGATAAGATTGTACTTATTATCTCTCATGATCATTGTAAAATATAACAAGTTATGCATGTATCATGGTAATGATAAGAACTAGTCATGAAGTAGCCTTTGCATGATGAACTCAGACCTTATTTATACAAAGGTAGATGGGCACAGGGAAGAGTTTTGGCATGTATGTGTTTTAAAGTAGAGTTTCATCCAGTGGAAACATCTAACAACTTTGAGGATAAGACTGGCAAAAGTTAGATTATCAGAACACCAGAAATGTGGGTTTTGATTAATGGAAAACTCTAATGTTCAGCAGCAGATCTATAAGGGAAAATTTGTTCCATGTCTTTCTTAGGTTCTGATAGCCTCAGGCATTCATTGGCCTGGAGATGTGTTCTTCCCATGTCTTCATGTCATTTTCCTTCTGTATGAATCTTTCTGGTTCTAAACTTTTCCTTTTGTTAAGGATGTCAGATTAGGGCTCATCTTAAAGACCTGAGTTTGTTGCAAAGACCCTATTTCCAAAGAAGCCTCATTTCTAGTCTTTGAAGCTTAAGACTTCAAAATTTGGGGGAAGCCACAATTCAACCTATAATAGTGATATATTCTTAAATAAGAGAAAGAGCTCAGAAATATAAAAACACCCATAGAGTTCCCTCAGAAGTAAAAGAATACTGATCAGGAATGAGAAGCTTTTGTTGAAGTCCTACATTTGTGACTTACTAATTGTAACACCTCAGGAAATCCTTTAACTATCTTAATTTGAGTTTCTTTTACATCTGTAGTGGGAGTAAACCATCACAGTTTTATTAAAAATAAAATAAATGAGACTATATACATAATTAAAACTATTGTTATTAATATATGTATTTTGTGTCCTGTATTTCTTAGGTTATTCCAGTCACTCTAAATAAAGAAAGTTAAAAACTCTGAAGTAGCCAAAATATGAGTAAAGGCAGTGATCATTATCTCTATAGTTAGTTCTTGAATTAACAATAATGATTTCACTATAAGCATTAATATGTTTTAATAACTGGTCATAATAAGTATAATTTAAAATACAATGCGTGGTTTACAGTTTCATATATGGAATTATTTCATTAGCCTATAAAATTTGAATAGGCAAGACAACTTTAAAAATATTTGCAGTTCTTTGACAGAAAAACACTGTGTTGAATACCCACAAGGAGGAAAATATAACAAATTAAAGAAAAATATATGCATATTTTATTCCTTTGTCAAAACAATGTTGGTACAAGACTGCAGGGTCAAACTGGGTTCTAAATTCTGAGTTAAACTTCTATGGTTGGCTAAATGAATTTCCTCAGCCTTTATTCTGTATGCTTGCTAAAAGTTTTAGAGGCTGACAGATTGCTATTATGACCACTACAGACATGGAAAAATGACTTAGGAGAGAAACAGCCACTGTTAGGTAGAGACAAATAGCTTCCCAAGAGAGAAAGATTCATGCAGGGGTCATTAACACGCATTCAACTCCCTGAACTTCAAATGCTTGCCAACAGTTGAGTATTTGGCAGAATCAGTACAGAAGTTACCTTCTAATGTCTCATACTAGATACTAAACAGAAAGAAACCAAGAGAAAATGAGCACAGCCCTCTGATAGTTGCTGTACCATTTATCTTCATCAACATAGTTTCTGTCCTTTAAGTGGAACAGATAATCATATGCAAGACCATGAAACTTATGTAAATGGAGATGATATGAGCTAGTTGGTATAAACATAGTTTTAGGCCCTATTCCTAACTTCATTAGATAGAACAGGATACCAGATAAATACCTTTCAAGGGAATTATAGTTTAATGAAAGAATACAATAACCATTTAGGGCATGGTGTTAAAATTACAGTGCTTGGAGTTGTACAGTGTGCTGTAGAAGTACAGAGGAAAGGGGCACTTTACTTAGACTGGAGTAAGGAATATTTCCTAAGGAAAAATTTCCACATTTTCAGTGAGTTAAAGTTATGAGCATGGCAAGATATATTATCATCCTCATTATAAGAAGAAATAAGGGATGTTCAGTTTTAAATACTTCTGAGAAGAAATATCAAGTCTTAATTTACTTATAAATTGGACATGTTCTTAAGGAAACCAAAACTCTGTTCTTTTGATCTTTTATATGGGAAGCCAAGTAGACATAGAGAATGTGTGGGAAATACTGGTATTCTGAATGTCTGGGATCTTTTTTGTAGAATTGCCACACTTCTCTTGACCCAGACTTCTATCTGAGAAAAATCTCTCAACAGAATATAACAATCCCTGAAAAGCACACAGGACATAACGATTAATACAGTTGGCTTATTTAAATGTAAGAATATTTAATAAATATAACAGAGTAATGACTATCAATATTTAGAAATCCTTCAGAGTATCTGTATCGTGTATGGATTAAGATCTGATTTGACTTGACATCCTTAGGTAAAAGATTTTTCCCATAGCAGAGCAGGAGTACCCATTGCTAGAAGAATCCTCCCTCTGAGGTTGTCAGCACTGAGACTGCCTCTCTTCAGACACTGCCTTTGTTGTCTGTGCCAGAGCAGCATTTTAGGAATCAAATTCTACCTTTTGTTCTTGTAGAATATCTACCATATTTATGCTATGCTGTTAAATGAGGTCAGCCTCAAGTGGTTTTCTCTGCTGTGAATATTCTTTGTGTTAACTTCTCTTACTCAAAACTACTTGGAGGTACAACAGAGTGACCTTGATGAAATCACAGTGGTCAGGGTAAATTCATTTATTTTCCTCACTTGTTCATAATGCTACTTTCATATTAATACATATATTTTTAAGAACAGACATACAAGAGCTGGTCAAAATATATAGTGAATGTTTAAAAAGAACTTATTATAGTAAAAGATATATTGCGTTAATAACCTCAACATAGTCTCCCTCACTTTCAAGACACATCCCATTGTTCTTGCCACTTTCTGAAGCAGTTTTGGAGGTTCTCTTTCATGAGGGTCTTTACAATGTATGGTAAAACATACTGTGAGCACAGTGGTACGGGGTTCTAAGACGAGGCCTGAAATTAATTTTTTTTATCTTCTACCTAGCAGAAGGCCTCTTGTTTCATGCTCAGGTTCTTGGATTTTAGGGAGAGGAGACAGGGGAAACCTTTTATTTCTGGTCTTCTGAATTTGTTTTCATTTTGTTATACCAAAAGCAGGCCCTGTGGACTCTCACCTGATTTCACTAGCTTTTTTTAAAATTTTATTTTATCAGCACATTTTAGGTATACAATATGATAACATTCATCATTGGAAATTTGCACCTTTACATAATCTCTCTTGGTTCTTATTTTTTCCCCTTCCCCTGCCCTCCCTTCAACCCCTCCATCCCTCCCTATTTACAAAGACTTTGTTTCCATTTTTTCATTTTCTCATGTTAATTCCATTTCCTT